GACCCCCCATCAAGCCTCAACAACAGCTTCTTCCCAGTTTTATTTATAGCCACTGAGAAATCCCTGATCCTTGCAAGCAGGAAAACCCCCTGGAACAAAAACACTCTGAAATTTTGTCAGGTCACAAGGTCATATGCATACATTCCCTCGTTTCTCAAGCTGCCTTTGTGACAGTGAAATCTGTGTGCAGATTGGACAGTAGTGGTTGACAGACCACAAGCAAAACATGGGGTGACTGGACCGACACATTAAAGACATAGGGGTGGCAGGATCTTCATGGTGAATATTATCAACAACATCTGTGCAAATTGCTCATAGTCTATAATTCAAAACAGGGTTCGTACACAAAAATCCAGAACTATACACATACATATGTATTAAAATAGATAACGAAATAAACATGTTATTTTATTCACTATTTTTCTTCACCCTATGTTTTTCTATGGACTGTTCCGGATGATCCCATTTCCCATGGGTAGTAGCACCACACAGCTGCAGTTGGGAGTGCTTACTACACAGTGTCTCTCAGACCTTGAAACTTTATACCGCCATATCTCGCCTTTGTTGTCACCTGACCTCAACCAGATAACCTGCAGGACTGTTTTGACCCATCTGGAATCTAGGTAGATCAGTTGACACAAAGGACTGCCATTTAACTTGCAAATGTATCCCTTGATAAGCTTGTATAATCAAGGCAGCTAAACAGACGATATTGGAGATAAACGTTTATCAATTCTGTAGTAATTATTTATATTGGAAATATCAAATATTGTGCATATTATTTGTATCCTAGACCGTGAACATGGCAGCCAAGTGCATATTCCAACATCAAGTTTTAATGAACATTGATTCCCTAGTGTAGTTTTCAAGGGGAACAAAATTCCATTGAACACAAGGAAGATAGGATTGCATAGTTACTTTATGATGGGCGCACAAACATAAAAGGTCAAAATATTTCCAAAGTCCTACAGGGTTTACATGTAGATTGATATTAAACTCAAAATAGTTGCCATGGCACTAATTTCAACACTGTAATTATATTTCACAGCGCCATATCATGACAAAAAACATTCCTGATTCCGTTATACATTTTTTTTTAACGTTCACATTGTACCATTTCCTAATATTTTCATACTATTAATGGGAATTAATGAAACCATCACATATTGTTTTCATTTTCATTCATTTTCCACTGCCATTATACACGACCGCCTCCGTGGTCTAGAGGTAGAACGTCCACCCGGAGAAGGTCAAGGGTTCAATCCCCAGCCGTGTCATACCAAAAGAAGTTAAAAGATGGTACTTGTTGTTACCCTGTCTGGCACTCGGCATTAAGGGTCTAAAACAAGGACTGGTCGGCTCGGAGTCAGTATACTGTGTCTTGAGTGGGGGTATTCATGTTAAACTGCAGCATGGTATCTCAGTGGGCTAGCACGGTAAATCAGCATCAGTCTGGACTAGTACAAGCAGCCACACACACACATGCATGCCCTTCGCAATATAAGTGCAATAATCCAGTTATATTCTACTCAAAAGAAGTCAAGGAACACCCAATTCTTTCACATTACTGTAGTTAATCTGTCCAGGCATGGCCTTCATGAAAACACCTACAAATATCTTTACAAGACTGTTTGTTTTTCCATTTTACTGTATATGGGTTGATGGCCCACTTCATCTTGAATAAAAGGCTGAAGATGTTTTTTTCCTATATCTCATCACCACTGCACCATTGGAACAAAGAACTGCACTATTTCTGTATGTGTAGTGAGGGAAGTCGTATGACAGGCAAGCCTTGGTATTATTTTACACTGATGCCGTCTCCAGCTCACAGATACGCATCTGGGATAACTGTCTGCATAATGGATGACCTGACATTGTCAAACATGTATACCGTTGTTCGTCACTGCCAGAATCAAATGACAACATTTTACAACATGTGACAACGATTATTTCTACATCACTGTATTGTACTGTTTCTATGTTGTTCAATCTAGTAAGGTGTGTGTGTATGTGGGGGGGGGGGGGGGGGGGAAGAAGAATTTGCTTCCATAGAAGTTGAGTTCAGGGCCCCCTTTCTCAACTTCATCTTTAGGGTAACAACAATGACATGCTCCTCAACTCTTAACGGCATGCACCTGGAATAAATCTTATAAAACACTCCATTTTCATACAAATCCAATTCCAATGTGTACTCTAAAATACCCTGGTAATAACATAAACACATGAAACCTTGCATTCTCCAATAAATGTCTCAAAATATGTCTGCAGTTGAGGTGATTTGTTAACAGTTGTCATACAATCGCTATCTTGTTCATGACACCTCAGGTAGCACTGAGTATAATGACCACAGTCACAGGGTGTACAGGTCGATGTGAAATGTCTTTAATGCCTTGTTTAATTCATAACAACATTCACAGGGTGTACAGGTCTATGTGTAATGTCTTTAATGCCTTGTTTAATTCATAACAACATTCACAGGGTGTACAGGTCGATGTGAAATGTCTTTAATGCCTTGTTTTATTTATAACAACATTCACAGGGTGTACAGGTCTATGTGTAATGTCTTTAATGCCTTGTTTAATTCATAACAACATTCACAGTGTGTACAGGTCTATGTGAAATGTCTTTAATGCCTTGTTTAATTCATAACAACATTCACAGGGTGTACAGGTCTATGTGAAATGTCTTTAATGCCTTGTTTAATTCATAACAACATTCACAGGGTGTACAGGTCTATGTGAAATGTCTTTAATGCCTTGTTTAATTCATAACAACATTCACAGGGTGTACAGGTCCATGTGAAATGTCTTTAATGCCTTGTTTAATTCATAACAACATTCACAGGGTGTACAGGTCTATGTGAAATGTCTTTAATGCCTTGTTTAATTCATAACAACATTCACAGGGTGTACAGGTCTATGTGAAATGTCTTTAATGCCTTGTTTAATTCATAACAACATTCACAGGGTGTACAGGTCTATGTGAAATGTCTTTAATGCCTTGTTTAATTCATAACAACATTCACAGGGTGTACAGGTCGATGTGTAATGTCTTTAATGCCTTGTTTAATTCATAACAACATTCACAGGGTGTACAGGTCGATGTGAAATGTCTTTAATGCCTTGTTTAATTCATAACAACATTCACAGGGTGTACAGGTCTATGTGAAATGTCTTTAATGCCTTGTTTAATTCATAAAAACATTCACAGGGTGTACAGGTCGATGTGTAATGTCTTTAATGCCTTGTTTAATTCATAACAACATTCACAGGGTGTACAGGTCGATGTGAAATGTCTTTAATGCCTTGTTTAATTCATAACAACATTCACAGGGTGTACAGGTCTATGTGAAATGTCTTTAATGCCTTGTTTAATTCATAACAACATTCACAGGGTGTACAGGTCTATGTGTAATGTCTTTAATGCCTTATTCAATTCATAACAACATTCACAGGGTGTACAGGTCTATGTGAAATGTCTTTAATTCCTTGTTTAATTCATTACAACAGTCACAGGGTGTACAGGTCGATGTGAAATGTCTTTAATGCCTTGTTTAATTCATAACAACATTCACAGGGTGTACAGGTCTATGTGAAATGTCTTTAATGCCTTGTTTAATTCATAACAACATTCACAGGGTGTACAGGTCTATGTGTAATGTCTTTAATGCCTTGTTTAATTCATAACAACATTCACAGGGTGTACAGGTCTATGTGTAATGTCTTTAATGCCTTGTTTAATTCATAACAACATTCACAGGGTGTACAGGTCTATATGAAATGTCTTTAATGCCTTGTTTAATTCATAACAACATTCACAGGGTGTACAGGTCTATGTGTAATGTCTTTAATGCCTTGTTTAATTCATAACAACATTCACATGGTGTACAGGTCTATGTGTAATGTCTTTAATGCCTTGTTTAATTCATAACAACATTCACAGGGTGTACAGGTCTATGTGAAATGTCTTTAATGCCTTGTTTAATTCATAACAACATTCACAGGGTGTACAGGTCTATGTGTAATGTCTTTAATGCCTTGTTTAATTCATAACAACATTCACAGGGTGTACAGGTCTATATGTAATGTCTTTAATGCCTTGTTTAATTCATAACAACATTCACAGGGTGTACAGGTCTATGTGAAATGTCTTTAATTCCTTGTTTAATTCATAACAACATTCACAGGGTGTACAGGTCTATTTGAAATGTCTTTAATGCCTTGTTTTATTCATAACAACATTCACAGGGTGTACAGGTCTATGTGAAATGTCTTTAATGCCTTGTTTAATTCATAACAACATTCACAGGGTGTACAGGTCTATGTGTAATGTCTTTAATGCCTTGTTTAATTCATAACAACATTCACAGGGTGTACAGGTCTATGTGAAATGTCTTTAATGCCTTGTTTTATTTATAACAACATTCACAGGGTGTACAGGTCTATGTGAAATGTCTTTAATTCCTTGTTTAATTCATAACAACATTCACAGGGTGTACAGGTCTATGTGAAATGTCATTAATGCCTTGTTTTATTTATAACAACATTCACAGGGTGTACAGGTCTATGTGAAATGTCTTTAATGCCTTGTTTAATTCATAACAAATTCTTCCCACCTTTAAAACCATCCAGTTACAGTGGGGCTGTGTTATGGAATTTGCAAGAATATTACAAAGGTAACAAAAGTTGGTTTGTATGGTGTAATCATGCATCATGCATGTATGCCAGCTTGCTCCAAATATGCATTTGCATGGATATTGTATGCATATTGGTGCAACTGCATTCAACTGATGAAATATTGCTTTAATTTGATAATGCATTAGATGGTTTGGAGGATTTGCAAACATCCGCTTTTATTTAGGACAAGTCAAAAGTAGGCCACAGACGTGACTGGGTTCTTGAAGTCGGCTTGTTGACATTTTCCTCTCCACTCCCAAACAAAGACCCTGTGTCCCCTTCCAACAAAATGGTCTGATCCGTTCTAAAGTCGCACCCACTTACCCTGAGAAGAGGTCCAAGGGACAGTAATGACTGGTTTCAGGCCACTTTCCGGCTTTGGTCTGAAAAACAACCAATCAGAAGCTTTCATTAGAGAACACCTGCCACCCTCCATTTTAAGGGGTCATCTCAAACACATTTCAGTTTATTTTTTTCAGATGTTTGTAAACACAGGGGCACAACTGTGTGGTCCATTCTCCCACAGAAACAACTCGATGAGAGACGTCTTGGAAATCTAAAACATGATCAACTTCATGGAAATGATGTGACTATCAAAATATGCACTGGTTTAAAAAACCTTGAAGATAAGTTAAGAGCTGTGCCATACAGCCCCAAGCTTGTAGAATTTATTAGAATTGTTGCGTACCAGACAGCCAGTTACATCGTTTGTTTGGCTGGTGAATATAGACAGGGTTCTCAGCCACGATGAAAATGCATCAATCATGATGTAACGTGGCAGCAGTTTACCATATTATGGTTCCTGCCAGTGCTCATATTGAATATGTCTCCACAACATAAGGTGGTCAGCATCGAAGATTGATGCTGCAATTCAACATGCAGCGGACTATGAAATAGATTTACATGCAGTTTAGCAAATCTAGCTTAAACCAATCAATCTTGTGCCAGCAGCTCTAGTTTACATACGTTTGGCTCCTTGAATGTGATCAGTTATATGCATACAAATTCCAAAGACTAATCATTTATCCTTAGTGCGTGTGGTTGGAATGACTCAATATATGGTCCTGAATTCTTTGTATGTTGTTTAACACCGCACACAGCTATTCCAGCTATATGGCAGCAGCACTTCTTAGGTTAACATGGATCACTGAAGAGCTATTCTAACCCAGATCTTCATGGGTCATTTTGAATAGTATTTCAGTTATATAACTGTGTGTCAGAGCGAGGAAAACCGAATGTGATGCTGGTACCAGACGTTTACCCCTTTGTTGAAACCAAAAGCGTGGGTATGGTGCAGACAAATCAATGATCATAATCGGGGCAAATATGACATTCAAACCCAGCATCTTTGGACTCCGGCCAGCTTCAGGGCCACAACTCGACACCGGGACTTGCAGCATCCTACATGACTGAGATACCCATGCTCCACTTTCCAACATCAACCCAGGATTCTAGCATGAATTTGGAGAAAACACTGATTTGGTTAATCAGAGGTTTCAAATTGAAATAACCACTTCTGATTGAAACGCGGAAACTAATATTTATTCAACTTATCGCATTTAGCCTAGCTAGCTCTACACTGAAAGCAGAGCATGTTAATCATGACACTGAACCCACAGAATACAACATGGCTACCACGCCAGGGATCATCATGTTCGGCAGATGGCTATGTCAGAAGTCAATTCCAAATGAGTGAGTGAGCATGGTTTTTCCGGTCTTAACATTAATTCGTCAATATCATGATGGGGGACACTAGAAAATGTCTTCACACATTGTACCCACGTGGGGATCAACCCAAACCTTTGGTGTGACGAGCAAACACCTTAACTGCTAGGCTACCCCATTGAAATTCATACCAAATGTCCCATAACTGCCCTTTGTTTCTTTCTTTCAACGTCTGACGTTCAACACCATGGACCTATGTGTTGTCCTGATGTCTTTGTACACTGGGGAAACAGTACAGCGTGATGCTGGGTTGTGGGGAATGTGATCTCTCCACAACACCATGGACCTATGTGTTGTCCTGATGTCTTTGTACACTGGGGAAACAGTACAGCGTGATGCTGGGCTGTTGGGAATGTGGTCTCTCCACAACACCATGGACAACCTGTACCATATGTACAGCGTCAGTGCACAGACCTTTGCGTCTGCTTGCCGGAATTCACTTTTCAGCATCATTCATTACAGTTCTGTTGAACTATTATTAGCTAATCTCACTTGTCCACAAGAACTTCTACTGCACTCTGGCTTCTGACGAATGGGTGAATGTTACAGACTAGTCCTGCGCCATGACTGTGGAATTAAAAGCCTAGGCAAGTCTAGATAAAACTAAACCAAGTCTAGTTTCCTATGAAAACAGCAGAAGAGGAAAGGTTCTTTTGAAGAAAAGAAATTATAATTATTTTAAAGAAATGTTTTCATTGACTTAATGTTGGTCTAGTTATAGACCGACAGTATCAATGATGCAGGGTCCCATGCAAACATCAATGACAACATTACATTGGTAAAGGTATGATGCTCTCGCTCATCAACTTCCGAGTCTATCACCCACATCCACCAAATCTAGACCCAGATAGGAGAGCAGACCCCATTCCATGGTCTATCGCCCACATCCACCAAATCTAGACCCAGGTAGGAGAGCAGACCCCACTCCATGGTCTATCGCCCACATCCACCAAATCTAGACCCAGATAGGAGAGTAGACCCCACTCCATGGTCTATCACCCACATCCACCAAATCTAGACCCAGGTAGGAGAGTAGACCCCACTCCATGGTCTATCACCCACATCCACCAAATCTAGACCCAGGAAGGAGAGCAGACCCCACGTCCACGTCGATCACCCACATCCACCAAATCTAGACCCAGGTAGGAGAGTAGACCCCACTCCATGGTCTATCACCCACATCCACCAAATCTAGACCCAGGTAGGAGAGTAGACCCCACTCCATGGTCTATCACCCACATCCACTAAATCTAGACCCAGGTAGGAGAGTAGACCCCACTCCATGGTCTATCACCCACATCCACCAAATCTAGACCCAGATAGGAGAGCAGACCCCACTCCATGGTCTATCACCCACATCCACCAAATCTAGACCCAGGTAGGAGAGCAGACCCCACTCCATGGTCTATCACCCACATCCACCAAATCTAGACCCAGGTAGGAGAGCAGACCCCACTCCATGGTCTATAACCCACATCCACCAAATCTAGACCCAGGTAGGAGAGTAGCTCCCACTCCATGGTCTATCACCCACATCCACCAAATCTAGACCCAGATAGGAGAACAGACCCCATTCCATGGTCTATCACCCACATCCACCAAATCTAGACCCAGATAAGAGAGTAGCTCCCACTCCCCACTCTATCAACCACATCCACGAAATCTAGACCCAGGTAGGAGAGCAGACCCCACATCCACGTCGATCACCAAGATGCACCAAATCTAGACCCAGGTAGGAGAGTAGCTCCCACTCCATGGTCTATCACCCACATCCACCAAATCTAGACCCAGGTAGGAGAGCAGACCCCACTCCATGGTCTATCACCCACATCCACCAAATCTAGACCCAGATAGGAGAGCAGACCCCACGTCCACGTCGATCACCCAGATGCACCAAATCTCAACCCGGATAGGAGAGCAGACCCCACTCTGCCGCCCGGCTGACCCAGTCAACACACAAGTGCAGGAGGAAGGAAGTATGGTGGGCACAGCAATGGAGAAACACTTGACACACAAGAAAATGATTACACATGTCATAATTACTGGGCAAAGTCTCCTGAATCAATGCATTGTTCGAATGACAGCCATGGAATGTCATCTCTAACCCAGAACAATAAACCTCCTGTTTATAATTATCATATTTCAGTGTCTGTTGATGTAAATATGATGTCCCCCAGATCATGAGTGAGAGAGTGTATTGCGTTGTAGTTTTACTGGCTGAATGAGGACACTTTGAGTGAGGGTCTCTCGACCTTTGTGTCATGAGTGCAAAGGGATTCTGACAAAACCCTACCTAAAGTACATCTACAATATAGATAATTCATGGTAAACAAACAATCATCTTTTCTAAGACCCCTTACTCAGGGTGATCTATGATGATAATTTGGTTTGAATTTGTTTTTGTTGTCTTGTTTAGATTATACTACTGTGGTACTTGTGATGGCTGACACACATAACTACTATTTGTCTTCACTGAGAAGAACTTCCTCATTTTGATGTTAGTGTTTTTGGCTTCTGTACATATTTACCAGACAGGTCGACCCGTGAAGATCCAGGTTAGAATAGGTCCTTAGCAACCCATGCTACTATGGCGACTATGTTTGTCATAAGAGGCGACTAACGGGATTGGGTGGTCAGACTCGCTGGCTTTGTTGATGCATGTCATCATATCCCAATTGTGTAGATTGATGTTCATGATGTCAATCATTGGATTGTCTGATACAGACTCTATTATTTACAGACCGCCGTCATATAGCTGGAATATTATTTCTGAATGAATATATCGTGCTTGAAACATAATAATTCTATAACATATTTGCTGGCATTTTTTGCACAAACTCCTATTTCTTAATTAATTAACCTCAACTTTGGCAACGGTATTGTTTTTTCTCCTGTCTCTCGGGATATATTTGTCAAGGAAGACCACAAAACAAGAAAAATAAATGGTCTGGTGTTTTTTTTGTTTTCGTTAAGTGCTTGTACGAAAAGGCCTGATGAACTTCATTTACATCATTTACAAAGGTGAATCAGAAAAACTGATATTACAAACAAATGAATTCAAGATATAGGGTCCTTTTTTAACTTTCCTACTTTGAAACAAATAAATATTTTAAAATATTGACAAACATCAGTTGAAGACACTACTTGATGTTTTTCACTTCCAATTAATTGTAAATTTATTACATAAAAACCAATCATTGTTTATGAGCTCATCAGACCAGCCTCCTGGAACCATCAGAAATTCAGGTGCTATTAAAAGGTAATTTGCCTTTGTTTCCAACAACAGATAACACGAGGATGAAGGTGACAAACATGCTAAAACATCATTAGCAAGAGATGTCTAAATGTGTCAGTGAGAAGCAGAGAACAAAGCTTCCTCTGACATGCAATTAATGACGTTTCCTTGGAACTAACGAACAACGCTGCCTGCCTGCAATTAACACCATCAGGACTGTCAGTTGATCTCTCCCTCATCATGGCTGACAAGCCTCCGTATCCTGACTTGTCAACATGTCGCACATGTTACATAACTCATTATCAACACTAATAGATATGGTTACACAGGACTCGTTATTACAATATGGTCATTATTTCTGCAATTGGGTTCGGTAATCATTAATTGAAACAAATTTTCTTTATCTATCAGATTTATCTGGAT